TTTTATTATTATTTCATATAGCTTCTTTGAATAGAAATCGATAAGAAGCAGTTGATTGATTATTCAATTGAAAACAAAAGGTAAAAGAATGTTGGAAATATCAAATTTTTCAAGAGCACCTTCTCAACCTCAAGTGAGACCTGTGAACCATCGACAACTTCAAGAAAATCAAATCGGTAATAATTTTCATTCTCCATCGATACAAGTATGAAAATTTTATTTTTTTAATTCCGTCTTTTCATAGTTTTCTAGTCAACAAATGGACAATGGTTATATAGAACGCCAAGTCAACCAGTCCCTAGTATTAATTATTCTTCAAGATCATGGAACGATTTACCAAGTAATCTAAATAATAATGAGTAAATTGAATATTCAGAGTTTTATTAATTGATTGATATCTATATTCTTTTTGTAACTTTTTCTAGACGAAATAAATTCTTCTGTCAAACCTGGTTTTGGATTTTTAGTGGTATTTTTTGTTTAATTCTTATTATTGCCATTGTAGCTATTGTTCTTGGAATTGTTTTGAAACTATAACAAATAACATTTGAATTTTCTGTAAACTAAATTTATAATTATTTTTTCGTATATGTATATGATTTTTAATAAATTCTATTATAGTCTGGCTTTTTCTTCTCTCATGTTGAAACTAATCAAAAAATAAAATCCCTATAATTTCAGTAAAAATATACTGAATAAGCATAAAAGTAAAAGCGACCATGAATACTTAAAATAATCATCATGGGTGGGTAATACAATGTAAAATAAATAAATTTTATTTGAGTGTTGAGAACATTTCAGGACTACAACTCGAAATCTTAACTAGAAAATTTATTTCATAAATTATTTAAGGTCCTCTATTAATAGTTACTGCATTATTATTAAGATAAGTAAGTTCCATTGGATGAATTCGATAAGTCTTGTGGAATATACGAATAAAAGCAGTTCGAAAATTCGAAGATGTTGCATAGTAGATAAAAAATGGAGCCCATGTATTAAGATATAAAAGAAAATTTGATGCAATAAATATAATAAATGCTTCAATAGCTTTTCGATCCTGACTTTTTCCTATGATATTTGATGTTAATTGTTTATACATTGTAGTAATTGGAACAAGTTCAGCTGATATAATATAAATAGTAATTTGAGTTGTTACCATACGAATATGTTGTCGTTGTTGCTGTCGTTTTACTGTATCATCAGGTCGAATATGAATTTTTTTCATATTTAAATATGCAAGACAACTAAATATTATCATGGCTAATGGTGGTATTATACCAGCAATTAACATTTGATAAATTGCAAATATTAATGCATATACACCTGTCATAACACATTGACCGGCAACAATTGTATTCATAATAGGTATATGAATAGCAATAAGTGGACAACACAAAACAACGCCTATAGCACATTTAATAGCATTTGATCGTTGACTAAACATTCGACAAGTATGTTTTTGTGAAGTCATTGTATATGTATCAATTGTAGCTAGAATTGTGAACATTCTTCCAATGAATATTGACGTATGATTGATATACATACGTAATTTACAGTAAACAAGTGATGCTGATACAACTGGTTTTGCAAGACTTAAAATACTTGTTGATACACCAAATGTAACAGCAAACATATTTGTAATAGCGGCAAGTAAAAGATAAAATGCACATGAACTTGCACGTTGTGATTTGTTTAAGAAATAGATGATGCAAAAAGTATTGCCAAGAATACCAAGAATAACATAGAATGGAAGGGCAATATAGGTTAATTTTTCCGTAAGTGTTGTCAGTATAGAAGGTAATGTCGATGCTGAATTCGTCATATTTTTATTCTCGTACTGAAACGTCAATAGATCTAAAAGAAAATAACTTCTATTATAATTATTTACTTGACTAATAAATGAGATAGATGTATTACAAGTCATCTGTTTTTGTTGCAATCAGTAAATTTTTTATATATAATTTGTTGTGCATAATTAAACAAGTATTCGAAAGAAATGAAACATAGCATATCATAATCAACACAAATAATCATAATGAAGTATACTTTTATTATATTCTGAAAAGTTCTGTCACGAGTTTTCCTGTAAACTCGAATTAAAACTAACTAACATCATTATACCAAAAATATTATTTCTATGAAAAATAAATTTTAAAAATTCTCAATTTAACTAACTGTTTAAATATACACATAAAGCGTCTAGTCTAAATTTAGATTATGAAAACTAATGACACGGAAGAAGACTCAGAATTTTAATTGTAATTTAATTACTAATTTACAGATTTTTTGTAATATTGTTATTTTTTATGAAATTAATATACTTACAATTCGTAACTGAATATATAGAAAATACATTGAATAAAGTAAATGCGACATTTCCCTTGCTATAATAAGTTTGTAAATGTTACTGACCCTATGACGGATTTTTAATATAATTAAATATATTTTAAAAATTTCTTTTTTCTTTTTCTCTTTAGATAATAGTATTAGTTTTCGACTGCTACATTTTTTAATTAGTAAGAGAGTGCTCAAAAGAAAAAAAAGCGAGAGTTCATCTCCTTCAAAAAAATTTAAAGTTCAAGGGAAGTACGGAACTTTCACTTTTTCTGCCTTGAGAGTACCTCATGAAAAATATTCTAAATTTATCTCTAATTATTGTCTGAGAAGATAACAAGATGTTTTGTGAGCTGAATGACAATATAATATTTATCTTATCGTAAGAAGTATGAACATCAGCACATTGTAATAAACTAGTCATAAATATTTCAAACAAATATCACTGAATGTCATTATTTAGTTTATTCATTCTATACATGGTTAGTCTTTTTCTTGAGAATAATAATTGGAAAGGTTATTAGGGACGCATTACAGTTTCAATTAGAATGTTCTCTATGGTTTCTCATTATTTTACATGGATCCAGTATAAATTTAGATTTTCTTTGAATAAGAATGGAATCATGACGAATGAAAAAATAAAAGTTTTCAGGCAATACAATTATTTAATTGGCATATGTTGTTCATTATTGATTAAATTTCAAATATACGTTAAGAACATTTTCTAATAGATTAATACTTAAATAAATTTAAAAAACTTCGAGATTGAAGCATATTTCGTCTGACTATTTTTTTTCACTTGAATACGAAATACTAAGAACATAGCGACAACTATAAATAAGCATCTATAGGCTTGTTAATGTTCCAATGTAGAATAATATGGTACAATTCATTCGTTAGTGAGTTAATGTAAAATTTGTTCTGATGATTCATTAAATATGATACCAAAATATTTTCTTTTATTTCATATGACATATTATTCTAGATGTTTGTTTCATCTTCTTTCGAAACTTTACCAGATGAAATTATATTACATATATGTCAATATCTTCGTGGAGCTGATGTTTTATTTTCATTTTATAATTTAAATAATCGTCTTAATATTACTATAACAGGTTATTGTCGTTATGTTAATTTATTATCTGTTTCATATGAACAATTTGAGTATTCTGTTTCTCATGTTTTACCACAAATTAGTAATAGTGTTCAAACATTTTTACTCAATGGTAATTGGGAAACAATTATAAGTAAGAAACTAAATTCTATTCTCTTTCAATCACCTATGACATTATTATTTCCACAACTTCAAAAATTAATAATTAAATGGTTTACGACTGAAAAACTCCTATTATTTATTGATACTCTTCATGATCTTCCACAACTAATTGAACTTGATATTCGATTTCTTAAAGGAAAAATGTTAAATTCACTTCTAACAAAAGTTCTTTCGACTAATAATAATCAACTTTCAATAGTATCATTTGATCATGATTCAATTGATTTCGATATATGTGATGATATAACATTGATATCCTATCCAAATATTGAACAACTTACTGTAAATCTAACAGAAGCTAAATTTATGACAAATCTCTTTCTACTTATACCAAATATACGCTGTTTATATTTAAGTATAGAAGAAATGTCAACTGAAATAAAATGTCAATCAATATTTACGAATTTACCATATCTTCTGCATTTAATCACATTTCAATTACGTTCAATTAATCTTTTTTGGACACTTGATCAAATATCTCATATATTAAAAGTAATGCCATCTTTACAAGAACTTACATTTGATCTTCGTACAGAAGATAAACGTCTTATCAATAAAGAAAATCTTCTTACGATTTTACCTAGATCACTTATAAAACTTGAATATTTTATTCGTTATTATTTTTCTCAGTTAGAATCCGAAATTGAAACAACAAAATCTTTTTCATCTCCTCATTTTCCTGTTATTAGTATGTTAGATGAACCACGATCACGTTTTATAATTTATACGATTCCATGTAATCTTCATTCAGTTATTCTAACAGGAACAGTAAGTCAATATATGCCATCAGGTTGGAAATATATGCAACAAACTGAAAATTTATACATTGCTCATATAACATCTGTATTAGAAATATTACATATATTACAACACTTTCGTCGACTTCGAACATTAACTATTGATGCAAAGGATAAATCACAAATTTGTAAGTAATATATAATCATACATTTTTTTTTCTATTTTTTCTTTATTTGAAATAGTATCTTTACCATTAAAATCAGAATCAATTAATTTCAAATTACCTTTTCTTAAACAAATTGAAATATTTGGAATATTTGAATTATTTCCATTATTTAATGTTGCACCTAATATTGATTATATGATTATTTATTTTGATTGTCTTAAATTATTATTAAACGATGAATCAACATGTCATTTATTACAAACTCAAGTTGTTCGTCTTAATATTGTTAATTGGGAAGATATTGAATCAGATTTAATAGAACGTATTTCGGAAATATTTTGTTCTCTTCGTCATCTTGTTATAGTTCTTAAAGATTCAAAAATATTAATTGATGATTTTGTATTAAAAGTTCTTTCACTTTGGAAAGGTAAATCACGTCTTTCAATTGATATTAAAGGTTTATTATCAAAAGAAACAAGTGAAAATCTACGACAATGGATTATTACTCATTCTCATATGAGAGAAGAAGATTCATTTGCAGTTGAATGCAATGATAATTGGTTTGATTTATGGTTTTAAATAAGAATACTCATGTATAGTGAATTAATTTTTTATATCATTTTTTTTTATTAAATTTCTATTCATATAGTGAGAATGCATGTAAGCATTGTTATTTGTAAAAACAAAAAGACAGTTGATACTATGTGATATTTTATTAAAATATGATAAATGATTTCTATTCTAATAAAATTTAATCTTTCAATTTGTTTTATATAATTCGAATGACATAATCGAAATCAGTGATATTACGTATTTCAACAGTTTTGAATTATATATAAATGATTTAATCATGTTGTATAATTTATATTTAAAGATGATAGTTATAGTATTCGTTGTTAACTATTGATAGTATGTGAAATGGATTTATTCTGTAGTCCTTTATTTGTTTTATTAGGATTCTAATTTCATCGCTGAGATGATGATTAACATATGACAGATAAAAACAATTCTATTAATTCATTCTTACCAAGTTGTTTTTTTCTAATTTGATTTTTGGTACAACTTAATTTAAATCAAAGAATTAAGTTTTCAATCATTATTAAATAATACTGATAACAAAATCACTCAGTAGGATGTTTTGAGGATGGGTTTAGGTGTAGGCAAGTTTATGTGAATGTGAGATGCAAAGACAACCCACACCCAATAAACGCGAAACGCGTCCGTGATTTTAAACAACTGCATTAGTTAATTTTTGAAAATTTATCAGGTAAAACAAGAATATTCAATTAATTAATTTCTGTAACTTCGATTAGAAGTGATTGATTGCCTAAAAGCAAGAGTTGAGATTAGCAGATTGATTTGTATTCTCAAATGAATATAGGTTTGTCTGTTTTCGACTAAAATTATAATATAGATATCAAAAGAATAGAGATTGACATATATGTTACAGAAATGCACTGTAACCCTAACGCTTTACCATATATAACTGTAGCGGAAAATAGAATAATGTATATAAATAATGAATATAAATCTTTTATTGTATAAATATAATAATAAAAGAATAATAAAATGACCCCAGTTGCTGCTTTACTGAGCTTAAGGTTCAGACCCTATTCCATCTTCGAGTCTTCCAATACAATTCAGATTAATTCTTTAACCATCATACTGAGTCCAACCTTCGTCTCCAGTGTACGTGTTAATACTGACTATACCTAATACACAAAGCAAGAGAAAAAGAAACAGAACAAGCGAAAGATACAGAACACAACAAAGATAAATGTGATAAAGCAAGGGGGTTATTGGAAAGGATGTTCATCTATGTTCTTGGCACAATAACTTCTTATAGCAAATTACTGCAATATAATAATATATATCTACTACGGGTGGATCATTTTCTGATGGTGACTTCAACATAATCCTGAGTACTAGTCCATAATATTTTAATGCTTTATCATATTCACCAATTTCTCCATAAAGTAACCCAACAAGACAGCATGTAGTTGCTAGTGATGGATGATGTGATGGCCACCGCTTCAGTTCAATTTCTACCCCTTTCTCATAATATTCCAAGGCGTTATCGTATTTCCCACTATCATGATAAATTTTTCCAATATTCCAATATGTGACAGTTAGTGACGGATGATCATCTGGCAATGATTTCAGTTCAATCTGAAGTCCTTTTTTACAATATTCCAAAGCCTTATCATATTCATTTTTGTTGTGGTAAACTGCTCCAATATTCCCATACGCAGTAGCTATTGATGGATGGTCACCTGGTAATGATCTCAGTCCAATTTCAAGTCCTTTTTCATAGTATTCCAGAGCCTTATCGTATTCATCTTTGCTGTGGTAAACTGCTCCAATATTCCCATATGAATTAGCTATTGATGGATGGTCACCTGCCAATGATTTCAGTCTAATTTCAAGTCCTATTTCATAGTATTCCAAAGCCATATCGTATTCATCTTTGTTGTGGTAAACTGCTCCAATATTCCCATATGCAGTAGCTATTGATGGATGATACTGAGGCAATAATTCTAGTATGATTTTCAATTCTTTTTCGTGATACTCCAGTGCCTTATCATATTCACATTTGTCCTGATAAACTGCTCCAATATTTCCATATGTAGTTGCTAATGTCTTGTAATGCGATGGGAACCTCTTTAGTTCAATTTCCAGTCCTTTTTCATAATATTCCAAAGCCTTATCGTATTTCCCTTTATCTTGATAAACTTTTCCAATACGTCCGTATGTGGCAGTTAGTGATCGATGATCATCTGGCAATGATCGCAGTTCAATTTCAAGTCCTTTTTCATAATATTCCAAAGCCTTATCATATTCACCTTTCTCCAGGTAAACCTCTCCAATATTCCAGTATGTAGTAGCTAATGATGGATGATGCGGAGGCAGTGATTTCAGCATGATTTTCAGACTTTTTTCATGACATTCCAAAGCTTTATCGTGTTGAGCTTTGTCCTTGTAAATGGATCCAATATTCCCATATGCAGTAGCTATTAATGGATGGTCACCTGGTAATGATTTCAGTTCGATTTGGAGTCCTTTTTCATAATACTGCATAGCCGTATCGTACTCACCTTTCATATAGTAAACCTCTCCAATATTCCTATATGCAGTGGCTAACGATGGATGATACTGTGGCAATGATTCCAGTACGATTTTCAGGCTCTCTTCATGAGATTCCAAAGCTTTATCGTATTGACCTTTCTCCTTGTAAGCTTCTCCGATATATCCATATGCAACAGCTAAAGAGTGATCATCTCGTGGCAATAATTTCAGTTCAATTTTCAGACATTTTTCATGGTATTCTAAAGCTTTATCGTATTCACCTTTCTCATGGTAAAGGTTTCCAATGGCTCCGTAGTTAGTAGCTAGTGATGCACGATTATCCGACAATGATTTCAGTTCAATTTCTAGCCCTTTTTCATAATATTCCAAAGCTTTATCGTATTCACCTTTGTGGTAGTAAACTAATCCAATATTATGATATGTAATTGCCTGGTAAAACTGACGCGATGTTGACGAGAGGAAAGATTCTTGAGTACCATGCTCAGGATATTCTAATTTATTATTACAATAAGCGTTATCATGATCATCAAATACTTCATCGTCGCGTTCGTTGACGGGATACATGTGAGACAGATGGTCGTTTGGAAGTAGTATTTTGAAAATTTGTTCAGCGTCGTCATATTTACCGATATAGAGCATAAGTTTTCCTAGAGCGATGAGATTGAATTTGTCGCCTAGTTCCGTCAGAAAATATTCTCGCAGTTCTTTCAGGTATGGATCTTCTTCTTTTGTCAATGTTAGGCTGACTTTTGATACATTGTTTTCTAATCTTTGAATTGATTCGATCCGAAACACGCATCCGATCGTGAAGAGAACCTCTCCTTCTTGATTGAACTGGCTCAAGTGATCAATATGAGAAAATGGTTTCGTGTCTTGGGTATAGTTGGCTTGTATTTCAAATAGAACACTTGCAGAGTCTTCTGTACCTGAGATGAATTTGGACGCTACATTTAGGTTAGTAGAGGTTGATAGAAAGTTATTGAATGATAAAAGTCCGCCATTATTGTTGTTTATGTGTTCTAGTTCTTCTCGAGTTATACGCTGCCCACGATACACAGTTAAGGGACTTAGTTCGGTGCTCTCATTTTTTCTAGCTAATGATTCTTCTGTGTGTAATTGTTTTATCTGATTATGCAGATCTGTTAAGAAGAAGCGATATTTAAGTAAAATATCAATGTCTTGGATTCGAAGCGCTTTATTCAATATCTCATATACAAAGCAATGTGTTGTGTACCACCATACGGCTCTGTCGGGAGTGTAATTGTTGTTAAATTCTTCAATATCTTTCAAGACGCGTTCATTGCCATTATACTGTAATCGACAGTAATTGACCATGCTTGGTTTTGCATCATCATCCGATTCCATTCGAATTAAAATTTCACTTATTTGTTGGAAGTACATAAATGAAGCTTCTTGTTTATTTATTTCTTTTTCTTTTATATGCGTAGAAATAATATTCATGGATAAGAATTGGTGGGAACATTCGATAACATCTTTACTTAGTTGCTCACAAATATCGTTCATATTTGTATATAGACCACGGATTATTTCATATTCATGTGCCAGCGTCTGATATTTGTCAGTCTCAAAACAGTATACATAAACATACTGAACTTGTGGCATGTAGTATAGATACGGTACTATGTGTTGACTAATCGAACCCGAAACAATTAAAAACACCTTTTCATCTTTAATTTTGCCTATGTGTTCATAACACTCGTAATAATCTTCAAATGGCTCCACATAATTGACAGTAGCACGTAATAGAGCTATTGTTTGTAAATTATCTTGCGTTTTGTAGATATCAGCATCTAACCAAACGATCTGAAAGTTTTCTAAATTTTTTTGCTGAATCATCTTTGTTCGACACATTGCACTTTGTACGCAGTTTGTTGTGGTTTGTAAAACGATGGTATTGTTTATCGTTTCTGAATCCATTATTGTAGATTGCAAGTATTTATTTTACGTATAATTGAATTTAAATTCTAAGAAAAATAAAAACACAGCAAGCGTGAGAGTAACACGAAGGACGTTTTGGATGCACTTTAATGATCACCTTTTATCTTTGCAATCAGAGGATATTCTTTTTTACAATAGAGAGCAATAACGTTTGTGCGTAATTTCTTTGTTTCTTCATACGAAAATTAATCGATGACGTTATCATATATTTCACCAAGAAGTACGTAAGAACGTATATTTTTCGACAAAAAAGATACATATAAGGAAAAACTGATAAACAGTACTAGCAATTTATTTCTCGAACCGATATGGTTTGTAAATAAAATTATTATATTAGAACATTTGAATTTTGTTTTCTGCGTTGTTGTTATTTTACAAGGACATTTTGAATACGGTTGGATGATCACTGTTTTTCTTTCTAATCGAAGCACATTTTTTTTATGATAGACAGTAATTACCTTCGTGCATAAATTTTCTTCATACGCAAAAGAATCGATGACTAATCGCATATTTCACTGAGAGATAAGCAATAATGATGAAACTTCCACAACAACATATTATTCTTTCGTAATCTAATAGGCATAAATAGGAAGAAAAACTCGCGAAGGATTGATGTGAGTGTGAATTGCGTACTATGTTTGTCTCTGATACGAGGCCAATAGAAGCAGTTATGAATTTTGTTTTTATTCGCTCGTGATTTCATAGGACGGTGTGCTTATGCATCGATTAATACAAAAAGTAGTAAAGTTTTGTATCTAAACTTGTTGTTCGGTTGTAATACTTAATAAATGTAAATAAAATTTATATATTTGTAAGATGGTGCTGAATAAATTGATTTGGGTGTGGGTGCGGGTGCATCTTTTGTTAACTAATAGATACACCTACCCTGAAATAATTATCATAATTCCGTCTAAAAAAATTAACTACACCAAATTTTTAAAGCAAATTTATTAAAACTATTTGCCTGCTGAAACACTGGGAAGATTGAATCAAAATATATTATTTTACATGATTTAATCGATGTAAATTATTTATTTTGAGAAAAACTATTGAGGTTGATTAGAGTTCAAGAAGATAATGAAAATAGATTATTCTATACCGCTCAATCAATTAAAATCGAATCTTATCTGAAAATTCGATTATAATACATTATTTCAAGGTGTTCAATAGATTGAAATCGATTTCTATTGAAAAAATCTATTAGAATCGGTTATTTTGAATGTTTTAATCCGTTTTAGTCGATTAAAACTGAAAATAGCGATTAAAATAAAAAACAAATGGTTAAATTTAATCAAAAAATGTTGCATTTTATCAATTTTTCTTGGTTTTTTCGAAAAAATCGATGTTAATGATATTTTTTATAGATTTTTCTTTACATGGGTGTTATGGGTGTCTATCTCTTACCCACACACCTGCACCCTCAAACGACTTCTTCTAGGTTTTTTTCCAGTAAGTATCAATTCAAACCTATACCCACACCTCACTCACACCTGTCTATTATTTTCATGTATACATTCTTCTCTCTATCTATCTAGATCTTTTATGATAATTATTGACTTTGCTTTGTACGTAGAGCATATAAATATATATGTAGGTACGTGCGTGCCGTTTCTTTTCTTCTTTTAAATTGATAAGACACATTTTCTTTAATATTTAATAATTTTAAAAATAAATGGTTAACACGTATGTATTGATATGTCTATCTATATAATCCGATTTAAATAACTCATATTTCTTCATCTATAATTCAAATAAAATAAATATGATCAGTTTGATAAGATTAATATATATTAAAAAAGAACTAATCTACCATGAAAATATTAAATGAGAATTGAATAAGAAAAATATAAGTCTAATGTGTAAATGAATGTTTATAAAATATTATATTACAAAATAATTTTCTTGTTCATTTCTCATATTTAAATATGAATGAAGATACGCAAAGATCATTATAAATCTGAGCATTTGACAAATATACATCTGCTTTTTTTGTATATTAAAATTTTCTTAAACTACCTAATGTCATCCTCAAATAATAGCTCATTATATTCATATTACTTGAAAAATGTCTCAATCTATGGAGGTATACCTATATTTATTGGTGGTTGTATTGGTGGTATATTAAATATTATTGTTCTTATTAGTTTAAAAACATTTCGAGAAAATTCATGTGCATTTTATTTAACTATGATTTCATTTGTTAATATTGGTCATTTATTAACAGGATTACTTCATCGTATTTTAGTTAGTGGATTTGATATTGATTTAACATTAATTTCATCAAGTTTTTGTAAATTATTTCAATATAGTTTACAAGTATGTGCATTACTTTCCATTACATGTTTATGTTTAGCAACAATTGATCAATATTTTGCAACTTGCTCTCATTATCGATGGCGTGAATGGAGTAATATTAAAATATCTCGTCGTCTTACTAAACTATTTCTTATTATTTGGCTTATTCATGGCATTCCATGTTTAATCTATTTTGATTTAAATAAATTAATTTCTACAAAAAAATTTCGTTGTATGATTAGAAATAAAAAATTTTCAAATTATTTTATTCATGGTTATTCAGCTATATTAACAGGCTATCTTCCAATATTTGTTACAATTTTATTTGGATTACTGTCTTATTATAATATTAAATGTTTATCATCAAGCAGAATATCGAATATTCGACGTGAATTAGATAAACAATTAACAACTATGATAGTTGTACTTGATATATTTAATATAATTGCTTTAATGCCATATCCAATTATATTAATAATTCGATCAATATCAAGTATCATTGAAGATCCATTTCCTGCTGAAAAAATTAATTTTATTAGTAATTTAACAGTCTTTTTTTATTATTTATATTTTGCAGTAAGTATAAACCCTATGTAGTTCTATAAATATGATATTGATTTTATTTATTTATTTTAAGAGTCCATTTTATATATTTATTTGTGTATCTGAACGATTTCGACGACAATTAATTTATGTTCTTTTTAAAATTCATCTTGAGCGTTGGCGACGACGGAGAATGATTTCAATATTAATATTACCACATTAGATGATAATAGAAACGAATAATTAATGAACTCAAAAAAGTGTTGGTGTGGGTGAGAGTGTGCTTGATCAAATCAAACTTATATCCACACCCATCCCTATCTTTTGTTTCTGATTGAAATAAAAAAAATTCTAATGATTTTCAGAGCAGTTCTCTCTTTATTCTCTTAAAAATGAGATCTGTATGTTAGTCAGTTTTATTTTCTTCCTGATATTTGCACCAATTGATTTCCAATAAGTCCATCGGAGCGAGTTTTTCTACGAAAGGCAAAGTATTTAGTTTCTTTGTATGAGGTAAATTCATTCCATCAATAGCTCTTTCTAAATTTTCAACCTTGTCGTTTAATATTGTTGTTTCTCTTTTAATTCTTTTTACTGATTCATCAATAATCTTCTTAAGTTCTTCCTGTAATGTCGCCATTTTTTGTTCAAGCGCATTCAAATTACCATTGATTACATTTTCAATTTGTTGCTGTTGTACAATTATTTTATCGCTGAGTTGATTAATCCCGTTGTCTGTTGTAATAACTGATGTTTGAAGTATTTCCATATTTTTAACGATCGTTTGCAGTGAAGCATCGAATTGTTCTTGTTTGTCTTGTATACTACTCAAATCTTCATCATAATTTTTTGTGCCTGAAGCAGATGATGATATTGAAATATTTTTTATTTGGTTCTGAAATGTTGTTACTAATAGAGTTAATTGAGATAATTTTTGATCATGCTCAGTTTGTATTATCTTTAACATGTCTTGATCTTTAACAATATCGTTCAAGTCAGTTTGTAATTCATCAATGTCATTTCTCAATTTGTTCAATTCTTCGTGTACTATATTCCTATCGTTTGTTAAGAATTCTACATTCATCTTTAACAGATTAACATTCATACGACATTCGTGAAAATCTTCTCGTTCGAATGTTGAAAAAATGTTTTCAAGTTTAGTCAAACGTTCAGTAACTTCATCAGAATTAGAATGTTCTCTATTGGGATACTGACGAGGAGATATATTCGAAGGAAGATTTCTTGCTTTTGCAGATGCTGCACGACTTTAAATATAAAAAAACGAAATAGTTCTTTTGATTATTTATTCAATTGTCGTTCTTACCGTGTTGATCGTTTTGGAACAAAATCAGGCAGAATTCTTGGGATTGATATAGACGGTACGTCCGGCATTTTGGGCAAGTTTTCTCGTATCAATTGCTTAAAATAGATGAATACTATGAATTGAAATATGATCAGATACTTATACATCTTCTCTTCTCGACAATTATATTATCATCTTCTGAGGAGTGGTCTGGAAGTTTCTTTACTGGAAAAAAACATGATTATTTTTTTTATGAGTTAAGCAAACAAAATGATTTTTGCTTTTCACAGATAGAAGAATCAATTACTCATATATACAGAATAATTGAGAAGTACATTATTACTATCATTTTCAATGAGCGAAAAAAATCGATAACATACCTTTTTTATTTCTTTGTTAACGAACAAACCATATTTACGTTCAAGTTTTCTGTCGTATGACTTTATTATAAATAAAGATCTTTTTATTCAAATATTTTAAATAATTGGCTTAATTACTTTAATACGTTGAATACGATTTGAATACATTTTATCCCATAATTCCAATTGATTTCGAAATTCTGCTTGTCGTGCTCGGTCAACTTCTTCAACACTTTTATTAGATCAGCAAAAATAATAATCAGTTAGAAAAATATTAAATAGTTTTACTTACGTATCAGCCATTGCTACTATGAATTTTCGTCTAAATCGTTTATATCGTTCTGGTTCTGAATTGTGAGTCCGATGTTCATCATGTTCTAAAGAAATTGATTCTGTATTTCCATGTTTAGGTGGCTCTGGTATCTATATTTGAAATAAAAGCGATAATAACATGAATGAGAAAAAAAAGCAGAATACAGACCAGTCCAACATGGCGCATATGTTTTCGAAGACGTCTCTTAGTAAAATGTTCCACAACTGGATTTTCTTCTATGATACTTCGATAAGGATTTAGAGGTCTAAATAAAATTTGAATTTAGAAATTAATAAAAATAGATTCAACTAACGAAGGTGGTTCAACTATGAATCGTGATGTTGTTTCTTTTTCATTCATGTCTATTTATATCTGAAAACGTTTTGAAAAGTGATAAATGTTCTATATTTCGAAAAGATTTTTCTATTAGCAACAATATGTATCATAATACGCACAACAACAACATTTTCTATTCTGCCATTCGTATTTTATAAAGTTCAGTTCTTGAGAACTACATAATCGATATCCGTAGTGTTCTGTTTTCATATATGAACATTCTGCCCATTGTTCACCATCTTTGGGATCTTCATTCTGTTTCGTAGCATTAGCACCAACTGTTGTTATTGGCTGACTGGTCACTACTTTCAGATTGCCATTCTTTTCTTCTTCATCGGCAGACTCCTTAGATTCTCGCTCTTGTTTTAGGCCAAATCCATAGTTAAGATTCTCTTGACGATCATAACGCAGACCAGGAGCTCGGAAAAACTCGGAAAGAGTAAAGTATTCGGTGATAGATACAGAAGGCTCTGGCGTTGAGGTAGTATTAGTTGTTGTTGTTATGGTACACTTTGTAGCTTCAAGATTCTATATAATTATAAAATACAACATTTACTTTTCTTCTATACATTGAGTTTATTTTTTCATCTAATTTCGATTAGTTTTGGAGATAGAAGATCTTATACTAAACTATATTTTATGATTAAAAACACATATAATATGCTTCAAAAATAGAGAGCAGACTTAAAGAATTCGACATATATGGATTTTAAAACGATAAAAAAGTTCTATGTTTTGTCTACTAGAGAGGTATGGGTGTCATATTTAGCTCTCGCCCACACTCACATCCGCCAACGACACCCACCCTCAAGAGCATATTCAATTGGCTGCACAGTTGAACGTTTTGCAGTCAGCGAATCAGCATCGAAATGAGTTGTAGCTCAACATGTTCTCTGATTTTTTTGACACTACAGAATCTTCGATAGAAGCCGGGTTTTTTCAATGGAAAACTGTAAGTTAAACTACATTTCACAGATAAAGTATGAGAAAAAAATTAAAGAATGTTCGTAGAGTTTAGGCTTTAGTGTTTAACAGTTAAACAGTGAAGTAGTAAAAAAGTATTTCTCACTTTTCAAAAAAGTATCTGACCTGTTCTTCAGAAATTGATTGCTGTTGGTCTGGTGAAGTATTATTCAAGATTGGTTTGAGTGGTAAGTATTGATTAGGATCATCATAAAACCATTTTGGTATAGAACAACAGGATCCATGAGCACCACACGCAAGTTGAACCAGCATTTCCACAAGAACATCTTTGTTGTCCTTCACCGTTTTTAATTTTAATATTTTAATAGTCTGATTAGTGACGGCAGAAATAATGTAATTAACAGCAAAGGTAGCCACTCGTTTAGCCGGTGCATTCTCATCAAGTGATTCAATCTTTGGTAACTTGCTTATGCACCATACATAGCAACTTCTGTTGATCTTTTTATTTCTTCTATGTAGTCGTTTTAATTGTTCTTGATATCGATCGGCCAATCGGCGTGCCACTCGACGTGCAATGTCGCTCTGTTCAATAACATCACCACAATCGGAAATTATTTCTAACTTATTTCTGATGAGTTCATGATCTTTGTCTTCCAGATATGTAGCAAGGTACTCGTTTCCTTTTTGAATTGTTGAGCCAGCATGTGGGATCGCGGCAAGATGTGGGGATATTTGTTTGATCACTTGTGCAGCGCTACAAATTATATACATAAATGGAGGAGCAGGTGTAGATGTGAGATAAGTATGTTAGTCTTTTGCTTAGATTCATTGATTAATACTCGTTCACATCCTTATTTACATTCTAGTTTTCAAAATAAAATGAAGTATTTATACTCACTAATAATATGGACCTTTCAAATTATGTGCAATGACTTCCTTGGTACAACCGGCAAGGGCAAAGGCCGCGAGTACATTCGATAATTGAACACGACATGTTCGATAGAATAAGAAGAGATTCTCGTCGTCCTTGAAGCTTTTCTCATCAAGTTCGATATCTGTATAATGTTGATCGATTCCATGTACTCTGTCCAATCTTCTATCGGGCGGAAGAGCACCCATTTCATTCCAATACTTTGGATTTTTAACATTTTCGATGAATAATTTCCACATTGATAAAAATTGAGGAAGCGTTCTTAACATTTCTAATAGTGTTTGAAGAGTTTCTTGTGCAAATAGAATATCTTTCACTTGATCTTGGCATAAACTCAGGACGGCATAAGCTTCAGGACAACATTGTTCTTTGTCGGCGTCGATAGCTGCCTTGTATTCATTTATTGCTTTCTCGTATAAAGAGTTGCTCGTTTTTGTGACGTTGACTATCTTTTTCTTGTCTTCATGGATGTATACGTTTTTAGTTTTATAAAACCATTGTAGTGTCTCTTCTAGCCAGCCTATCTTAAAATGCCGTATAGATGACTCCCCTTCTTTAGCAATTTCGGCCTTGATATGACGAATGCGATCTTCGAGCATAATTATTGTAGTGTTTGAGGATTGTGATAGTTGCATGGCACAGCGACGATCATACACAGCTTCTTGAAGTTTACCCAACCTTTCAAACACATTTGCTCTTTCATAAAGTATATCGACATCATTAGTCGCATATTTATATGCTAAAGACAGAGTTTTTATAGCATCTTTCAACTGGTTATCAGCTGCTTGCATCATTCCGAGACGAAAAATAGTTCGCGCGTGTTTTGGATTATATTTACGAGCTGTTTCAAAGGAATTGCGAGCCTGAGAGTTATCATGCAGCTGGTAATAACAAAGACCTTGTCGAAATGAACTTTCAGCTTTCTGGTACTTGTTTGACGTAATTTCAGAAGCAGTTTTGAACTTTTCGAGTGCTTCTTCGATATGTCCTTGTTCACTGCGTAGAAGAGCATCATAGAACAGTTTCTCATACTTAACTTTCGACTCCTCAATAGTCACGTCCAAATTCATCTGCTGTCCCATCGATGCCGGGGTCTCACTATTCATGAGTTCTTCATTATCTTGATCCTCTACGCCATTCTCATTTTCTCTAACACTATCATTAATATGTTCATGTTCATCATCCATATCGTCATGTATTTCCGATATAGCAATGCGTACTCGCTCTCGGCAATATTCATAGTAAGGGTTTTTCTTACAAGTTAGCTCACTAGCCGTATTAATATCACACCAGGCTTTGTCCATACGTTGCATGGATTCATAGACTAATCCACGGCTTAAATACCCTTTGGCTAAGATATGATTTCCTTTATCATGTGCGCGTCTAATGAACAATGAGTAATCATGTATAGCATCATCATTCTCACCGAGCACTTGATGGGCGAATGCTCGTTTGTAATATAATTCCGCAGTATATTTAAATTTTTCGTGTGATAAATCAGGGTCGTTAACGAGACGAATCGCTTCAGTAAAGTCATCAATAGCTTCCTGATAATGTCTGGAAATGCCAAGTTTCAGATGGACATTACCTCGAAGATAAAGCATATCAACATTTGGAAAGTTTAGTTCGGAAAATTTTTCGATAGCTTTTTTCAGATCATCTGGAGTGCCATTTTCTGCTAAATCGCAACCTTTCTTGAGCAACTCAGCTACCTAAAGAAAAATAAAAAAAGATTTATTCTTGATGCTTACTGATCTATTAGGTTGAATAAAAGAAATAAGCGAAATAAAGTGACAAAGTCGAACTGTCGATACTGCCTAATCTAATGTAAACGTCACAAAAACGCGTGTATTTGCAAGTATTTGCTTAACAAATATGCCTATGCACATAATTCATAGGGGCTTACTAATGGCATGTAAATCATTAACAGATTTAACGGTAAAATTGTTTAAACTTTTCGTCTGATGAATTCCGATATGAGATCTGCAGTAATCTATCAATCTTTTTCCATTTTTTCTTCTACCGAGTAGATGAATCAGATGCAGGAAGAGTATATGGTAGAGACGTCAATTGGTAAGATACACGCAGACGAACCTATGACTATAGATTATCTAATTCTTACTCATCTCATCAAACTTCATTTAGTTGATATTCGTTCCATTAGTACTAGGTTACAGCACTAAACTTCTATCGACAAACCTGCCGAGCTTTATTTGATCCTACTGTAGGATTCGATACCAGAAATCGATATGTGATATCATAACAGAGTTTCCGGCAATAACTTTTTCCGATACAGCTGGATATCTACTGGGTTCTAATTAAAAAGCGGATGTGGGTGTTGGTGTGTTATAAATGCAAAAAAGAGAGTATGCAAACGAAGTATTTCTTGAGACGATATTTGTGTTTACCAATTACGTTATTAATGACGAGACATGACGGGAAAAGTATAAAATATATTTCTGTCTATGATTGCAAATACTTATGTCTCGTATAACAGTAAACATGCGATGTTTTATAATGAATGACAAGGAGAAAAAAAGTTTCTATAAAAGTAGTGTCGCTTTCAAGGTTGTTTATAATTACTACAAGAATATTTCTTGCATGATATGTGCGAAAACTTATGACCATAGACAATGAAACGGTAGAATGAAAACAGTATCTTATTTTTTTTTTGTGAAACACGATCGAAAAGAAGAGCTGAAGTGCACAGGGGAAAACATTTACATCAACGCTCACTATTCCTTTGACAAACCGTGACAAATATGCTGTTAAAATCCTCATTTACAATAGGAGACCTTTTATCATATTTTGCACTCAATTGTTGTACAATATTATAATAACAGTTTTTTTGTCTTTTTAAGCAATATTTTGATCAACTGCTAGAATAAAACTATAAACTTACCATCAAATTATTTTGTTTATTCATACTAGATTGTTGTGCTGGCGTTACCTTTCCGCTCTCAAAGAGCCTGAAGAAGTTCATCCTTTGTTGATGTTCTATACTTCTTTTTGTTGTATGTTCGTTATAAGACGCACGCAATAGTTTTATATGTAAAGGTATTTATATATTGTGGTGAAAAAAAATATAAAAAGCAATGAAAGAATGGCATTCTCTGTTTCTATTATTATTTATTTTTCTTCTTTCTTTTTCTGTTTATTTTTCATTGGAAAAATTTACTCTGCCGATCTGAAACGCTTTTAGAAACACCCGCTATAACTGTTGAAAAATGAAGCGATATATAATTAGTCAAACACTTTTCCACTGGTTGTTTTTTAGACGAGAGGAGTTGTAAATGTCCATATAAGACGATACCAAAAGATAGTTATAGTAAAATAAGAAAGTGAAGAATAAAAAATGTCATAGAAGTAAAAACCGATAAAAAGAGACAGAGAAAAAGAGAAAACAAACGAAAGCGTAAGTGATTGTTGCTAAGCACACAACGAAACAAAGATTTGTCACATTATTGAGCCTCACAATTTCATGTCACAAAACATAATGAATTATCTAGTGAAGAACAGACAAATGAATAAAGGTAATATATTCAACATTCACCTACACTCACACTGTGAGTTCATATGGTTTCTTATTAAATTAGATTTTATTAATAAAAGTGTGATATAGTTATTCTCAATTTTTCTTTCAAACGGCAAGAGAAATGTATCGAATGGTGTAAATATTCTTCTTATCCATACACAACCACGCCCACCCAATAATTTAACGACCATATATACAAGCATAACAAAAAAAATGTATATGATAATCAAATTCTATATATGATGAAAAAGAAGGAGAAAACATAAAATGATCTGAAGTAAAGGGAAGTCCAAGAAAAGAAAAATTTCATTACATACATTAACATAACAGAAAGAAAAAACCCATGACGCATTTCTGACAACAATAGGAAGAACAAGAAGAAGAACGTATGTGCATACATATGATGATGTAAAATTTTCCACAGAGGGAAAATATTCTTTCAAGAAATATACCCAATCGAGCGATCACCCACACAGGTAGATTTTGCATGTCTGGCTGCATGCGTCATTGGGTTTTTCTCTCGTCTGTTGACTTAAGTTCCTTATATAAACAGCCGTAATCTGAATAAAGAACACAAAAGAAAAAACAACTTTTTCTTGCTCTTACCTCTTCGTTAAAATCGTACTAACACTTGCGTATTGTTTCGACCTTTACCAGGTGAGTAATTCTTTGCTTTAAACGAAAGTTTCATAGTAACTCGATAATATTGATGTAACAGTTATTGAAACTAACAATCATTTGCATAGTTACACATAAAATATAACCGAATTTTTGTGCTCAACAATATATATTGATAATAGTCACTAAGAGAGCGTGAGAACAAATGGTTTGATAGGTGCTATAGAAACATTTTGAATTGTGTCAGTGCTTTTCAAACGCAAATGCAGTGAAAAATAGTTTATACTATAAAGTATTAATATGAAATCATTAAAAATTCTTTCTCAATCCCCAAATACCCACAATAATGAGAAAAGAAAAGACATGTGTGCAAATAAATACAAAAAATCTTTTCTGTCGTATATTTCTTTGCTCAAGCCATTCACAAAAACAACTTAAACAGACGAGTTTTTTTAATAGGTGCGTATTTGAGTGAGAACGACGAATAAGTAATACAACATATTTCTCATCAATACTCACAGTCTAGTGGCTATGGGAAGTGAGCCAAACATGTCAGCCAAAGCAATATAGCTCACTTCATATAAAAAAAACTAGCTGATCACACTACAGTTCTTACTTTGCCATCATTCAACCTACTTTCTGCCCTCCTTCTATGAACACGGTACTCTCCCAAGGTCTATATGGACGTACTGCTTATAAACTTTTAAAGGCCTATCTAGACATAATATCCTGGTTTTTTAAGACCTATCTGAACATAGTACCTGTACTTTTCCACAGTCTGTTTGAACGTAGTATGTGTAGTTTTTCAAGATCTACCTAAATATGGTAGAATCCTAAGAAGTAGCGAACATATACGGGAAAAAAAGGGACTCATCTGACATAGAAGAATGACCCAGCCAATTTCAAGTCTTCAGTTTCTTATAAGTTAAACTAATCTGCATGAACATCCGAGCTATCGTAACACGATCAATCAAACAAACTGTGCTTCAAATTGAACTCTTTTCTTTCCAGCTTTTAATGACAAAGTCAAAATGTATATGATAAGAAGAGTTTAATCAATTTAAAAAATGAGTCGTATTTCGTATGACTTCTAAATGGTATCTCCGTTCTATATCATTGAGAATTTGGCAAAGATCCTGAGAGAATTCCTTGTGTTTTTGGTTCCAGGATGTGAGAAAAACATGCAGGTATTTTCTGCGTACACATCTTAATCTCATTCCTGCATTCTACCTCCTGAAAACATTGTTTTTTGTTTCTATTGTTGCACTTTTTTCCCGGAAAAAATTTGTTCATTATCATAATTATATGCTTCTGGCTGGAAAAATTTTGTTGCATTCATTTCTGCATTCTCCTTCCAGGAAAAAAAATTCATTGATTCCCATTCTTACAGACTCTTTCCCAGAAAAATAACTTGTCTATCATCATTCATGCATTTTACCTCCTGTAAAAATTGTTTTTTGTTCCTGTTGTTACACTTTTTTCCAGAAAAAACTTGTCTATCATCGCTCTTATATTCTCAATATCGGAAGGAATATTTTTCACTCTCATTATTACATTTTCTTTCTCAGAAATAACTATTGTCACTATCGTACAAAAAGAAGGAAATTATTTTATAAGTTAGTAGTAAGTACTAAGTGTCGTGTTATTTTTTTGTCTTTCAGTGGATAGATGTAAAGACTGAAGATGAATTCGAATACTTATCGATTCAGTAGAGTTTTCAACTAGTCGTGATAGTAAAGGTGAGCAAAACAGTCGTATCTACATATGTCTTAGCGTCAGAATAAAGGAAATAATCTACTTCACCACACTAAGTAATGTGATCAATAGAAAAGTCGAATATCGAACCACTTCTAATAAAGACTTATCATCTCTTCTATTTGTAGTATTATTTTATTCTCTGTTTGACCTAATACAAAACAAAATAGACAATGGCTACACCATGGTTTGTAAAGATTACTTATCTACCACAACATATCACAAGTGAACAACTAGCTAAAAAGTTCGGCATTTCCGAAGATGATATTTTCATTCCACAAAATCAGGAAGGACCCACTACTTATGCAAAAGTAAACGGCTTCATGATGGAAGAGGATGCAAACAAATTCGTACAAAGATGGAACAAAACACGAATTCTCAATGCAACGATAAAGTGCAAGGCTGTCTCTACACCACCCAATTTGGTTCGTCGACGACCAGCATCGATGTCCACAAGTAAGTAGTAATCTATTTATATTATACTGTTCCCATACTTGAATTCTTTTTTTTGTTGAAACCTAAATAAGATTTTTATTATACGATAGTAATGGAAAAATATTATTAAGACGTTAAACTTCTTTAATGCTAGGAGTTGAGTGTGAGTTCAAGTAGGGGTGTTACTTTATCTTATAAAGAATACAGATAATCTTTATTTTAAAAATAACGATAAAGAAATAAAGTGAATCTTTATATTTACAAAATAAATATAAAGTTTTTCTTTATTTTCGAAGATAAAGATAAAATAAAGTTTCTATCGAAACGTACTTTTTAATTTTCTTAAAGTAGCTCACAAAAAATCATGATATTGTATAGCTAGCTATATTATAGAACAGCATTTTTCGTATATATCGTTTCTTGTATGATCCTTTTTTTTGATGATATGGCATATGGAAATTATGATAATGATAAAAAAAAGAGCATTAATAAATCTATCCTGCTGTTATACAGAGTATTTGCATATGTACTTGGTGCATGAAAAAATATATCTTTATTCTTTATGAAATCAAGATAAAGTAAAATCTTTATCTTTATTTATAAAGTAAAGATAAAATAACACCCCTACTTGCTAGCCTCTTCAGTTCCGGAGTTATTACAGTTTTTTTCACCCATCTTCTATTTTGAAATGGACAGTAGATCTCTTGTTAGATATTCATTATTGTTGAAAGTTTATTAACGTTTTGTGTAACTACATCTCAGAAGTTTTTGGAGACGAGAGAATGCAATGTGTATCTGTGATACAGTGGATGATCTGAATCTATTTCATCTCTTGTTTGTTCTTTATTTGAAGACAATCAAATTTCATCACAACTAGTCGATTGTCAAGATGGATTCCAGTGTCGCAACGCTAAGTGTGAATATAATCATCCACTTGGGTGGGATGCTTGTGAGGATGGTGCAGATTGTGAAATTTTTTATTGTAAAGCCAATCATCCAGTTGGTCGAACAAATCCATGTCTCAATGGGCATCAGTGCGATGCTTCTCCTTGTAATTTTTTACATCCTTTGCCAGGGATATTAGGATGTCCTGAAGGCGCCCATTGTTGTGTATTATTATGCCAAGCGTGGCATCCAAAGAAACGGGAGAAAGAATGTATGGATGGCAGACATTGTTACAACTCGAAATGTCAGCGATTACATCCATCTGAATGGCAAGCGTGTTCACATGGCATAGAATGTACTGATTATATGTGTGAAGAAAACCATCCTCCAAATCGATTGACTCGATGTCATGAAGGCGCCACATGTGGAAATTTCTATTGTGAATCTTTGCATCCTATCGAATGGGATCCATGCGAAGCAGGTATTAGGTGTGTGGATGCAGCTTGTCCTCGTACATCTCATCCCGCTGATCGCAGTTTATCTTCAAATCAAGAGATCTCCAGTAATGAAAGATCGCTACCACGACTACTGAAATCTGTAGAAGAACGTGATCTTGAACGAAGGCAAGCCCAACTGCCTATCTTTTCCTCTAAAGATGAGTTTTGTCGACGATTAAAAGAAGAACGGGTACTTGTGGTCACAGCAGAGACAGGCAGTGGTAAAAGTACACAACTACCACAATATGCCGCTGAATACTTCGGCGGACTAGTTATTTGTACTCAACCGCGAGTAATTGCAGCAGTTTCTCTAGCCCGCCGTGTGGCCAATGAATATGATGGTATGGCGATGGGTCGATCAGTTGGCTATCGAATAGGTTTAACGAATACTATGAGCGAGAATAACCGAGTTCCAGGAACAGATATTCTCTTTATGACAGATGGCGCGTTAATACAAGAAAGTACAGAAGATAGACAATTAAGCAATGTACGAGTGTTGATTATCGATGAAGCTCATGAACGTTCATTAAACACAGACATTGTTATGGGTATTGCAAAACTATTACTAAAGACACGACCTACAGATTTCTACGTTGTCATCTCTTCAGCAACTATTAATCCTAGGAAATTTTTGGAATTTTTTAAACGATCGGATTCTCAACCGCTTAATGTTCCAGGTCGTGTTTACGACGTTATTATCGAATACCTTCCCAAAGCAGATGGTTCTGTGGAGGAGCATGCGGTTAATACTCTACGTCGACTATATAATGAACATCAAGGGACTACATTGGTATTTCTTCCTGGACAACGTGAAATCGAACGTGCCATGGAGCTTTTTAAAGTTAACTTACCAGACAAGTGTTTTCCCTTTCCATTGTATGCTGCTCTCTCATCAGAAGAACAAGATCAAGTACTTCAGTTCGATGAAGGTATAAATGGGGAACGTCGAATGGTAGTTTTCTGTACGAATGTTGCTGAAACGTCATTAACAATAAAAAATACTCGTCTTGTCATAGATTCTGGCTTAGCCAAAGAAGCTAATGTGGATGAAGTTCTTCGTTGTACAGTGATTCAAACAACTTCAATTTCTAAGGCATCTGCTGATCAGCGTAAAGGAAGAGCAGGACGAACAGCACCAGGTTACTGTGTACGTCTCTATAACGAAGATACATTGATTCGTGCTGATATTGAACCAGCAATTCTTCGATCTTCACTTGATCTTGTTATCCTACAGCTTATCCATTTACAACTCGATCCACTGGCATTCCCCTTTATTGATCCGCCTGCCTCAACTATTATTCAATCGTCATTAAAGATTTTAAAAGATCTATCTTGCATTACTGAAAACTATGATATTACTCTACGAGGTGAACTTTTCGTCAAACTCAATCTCAGTCCTCGTTTCAGTGCCTTTTTTGTTGATGCTTATGTCGAACATGGTCCCATTCTCGAGTTAGCAGCAGTCATTGTCGCCATTTTAACAGCACCGGGTTCCGTATTTTTAGTGGGTAATACAGATGAAGAGAGGGATACTATTCGGACTCGTGTCACTAACAATGCTAAAGAGTACGAAAGCGATTTGCTCTATTTCGCTTCTACTTATAATAAATGGCGTAGTATAGGCATTCTTGATCCGACTGCACGTATGTGTCCAACGTGTCATAAGAGTTGCAACAAAGGTAATATATGTCGACCATGTCGGGCAGCATATAGTACAACACATTTACTAAACAACAAGATCTTAAATATTGTTGAGAATGTGTCGAATGCTTCAATTAAAACAATTGAAAAGTCAAGCTGGCAACTCAATCCTCGTTCGGTATCAGAAGCAAACGAGAGTGATATCATCGGAATAAATTTATACAAGCATTTTCCTGAACACTATGGGTCTCTGCTCAAGCCACAAGTACCTACTGCAAGTGCACGTATGCGTGCAACTCATATTGACGCACGTATAATTGAAACGAGTGCTTTAGTCCAGCGACCCGCTAGCAATCCTTACTTTATTGCAATGTCCATTATAAAATTGCCTGGGGGTCGTTATTTGCTTGAACGATTGCATCCATGTCGTCATGCAGAAGACCTTGATCCAAAGCGCACTGAGATGTAAACGCAATATCCTCAACTACAAATCGATCTACCTCGGCTTGCTGATCAGATTTTTATTACAGTATATACCGATCGATTGAACTAATTGCAAGCGAAGTTTTTTTTTGTTGTTGTAAAGTTCATTTAATCTGGAATAAATATGGTTCTTAAGCTATCTTGAGAGTATGGGTGTGCGTGAGTGATGAATATAATACCTATACATCCATCCACACCCACACACTATAGATTATTTGTCTACAATAGCAATGTAGTTCGGAACTGATTTGGACTATATTAAATTATGTTGGTAAATAATTTGATAAGATTCTAGAACAAGGTCGAAACATGTTTCGCCATCACACCTTCTTCAGAAAATAAACCTACCTTGCATTTTAGATAATGTGGGTGTAAGTGACGATGAGTATCAAGAATGAAAAGAAGATCCTCATCCCAAATTGCGACACATTCAATGAGCCTTTATATTTTCCACTGTGAATGTCACGTTTAGTTCAATTTAATAACAAAAAGCTGATTAAAAGAAATTAAGCTACAGTACGGACCAAAAGCCCTGCAGGGTGTGGGTATTGAATCTATCGAAATCCGCACCCACACCGTCAATATTCAGTATTTATCGTGTGCGTGTCCACAAGATAAACAGAATTTAGCTGCAACATCTTGTCTTGCTGTGCCACAATGAGAACAAGATCCTGTAGAATACGGTGGAGGTGCATTGTTGTTTTGTTCTGTATAGGGTGTTTCTGGTTGCGAAATAACTTGATTCGAAGGATCCATTACACTTCTATTTTCATCAGCATCATCACGAACAATATCTATCGCTATCTAAAATACATATTAAAATAACGAATCATAGATTCAACTAAACTGTAAAGCAGTTTATCTGGTTTTCGATAATGCAAAAGATGCTCTGCTGTCGAGACCCTGACTTCCTATCGATAGTTATTGCACAATGCTACTTCTGTAATGAGAGTGCTGACATGGCTATGTTGTTAAAAAGACGATTTACCCTTCTACATTCTGATAAAATGAAAAGGATACTTACACAAATAACTGTCAACGGGGTACGTTCTGGAAGAAAATGTTCAGTCAAATCTAATCTCCAGCGACATGGTATTGGCGATCTAGAAGAATATTTCGATGATTCTTCAGCAACAGCTTCTTTCAATCGTTCCATTCGTCTGGATTTTACTCGAAGCAAAGCAATTATAGAACATATTGTCCCAATAACGGTGCACATCATAATGGTGCAAAAAATTGTTAGAACTTTGTTGACCTGTATAGCACGATTAATTTTATTAATTGATTCTTGGTACTCAGTTTCACTAATGATTCCTCTTAATTCTAATGGATATGTGATATCAAAATTTGATTCGAGCCATCCATCTGAAATTCAAACAATAAGAATTATATCAAATTCAAGAATTAATGCTTACTTTGAATCATTCGTACATGTATTGGACGTGGACTGACAGAAACTTCACTCATTTTTGTTCGCTGATTCAAATGATCTGAATCAAAAATTAATACGTTTTCTATTTATTAACGATAGACTTCGATAAAACTACGCTGATCTATTTTGATTATATACTTTTATTTAGGCATACACCGAGGCTGACTACAGTAAATCTAAGTACAATGAAATAAATAAGCCAACAAAAGAAGAGAAGACTAGAAACATCCGAACTTGAGTCTGAGTTTATTGAATGGATTGCGAGCTTCAATCTAAAGTCTCAGATCGAGCTCCACCCGTTCAGTCTGAATCTTAAAGAATATAAAACTTTCATCTAGCTCATAAAGGTCTGACAATAATATCTATAAAGTCGACAGCACTTTTATCACAAAGAAAAAAAAAAGAATAAATATTATTTTGCTCAATTTGTTTTTATTTAACTGCTAACTATGTGTGATGTATCACATTTTTATCTTCACACATGACTTTTTTGTTATTTTTTAATATTTGCGGAGTGGAATGTCTGGGAATTTAATTATCAGGTGTGCTATCTCATTTTAAAAAAATGACAAACTTTGTCTTTTTGTAAAATTAGGATTTCTTTGAGGATGTGGGTGTAGTGTGGGTGTCTATCTCTTACCGACGCACCCACACCCTGAGGCGGCTTCTTCTAGGTTTTTTCCAGTACGTACAAATTCAAGTCTATAATCTACATTGGTAAGAGTAACTGTAAATTTTCTCAACTGTTTAACAGCATGGTTCAAAAGGTAATCCCACTGACCCAAATCAGTTTTATTAAAATAATTCTTTTTCTCAGTAGCTGAATTAATTTTGAGTGTAATCAAGTCTAGTTTCTATCTTGGTCTTTCTAGACGTTCTCCAACAGCATCGATAACTTCTTGTTGCATAAGATTTGCCGTTCATTTAATATTCTCTATTTCTTGAGG